GCATTCTGGGTGTTCCCATGCTCATTGGTTTTTGCCAGAGGGAAAAGCCAGAAGACCAAAGAATTGTGAGAATGACTCTTCTTGCGGTAGCTCTGGCCTCCTAGGAATTAGGAAGTGCCATAAATCTCGGGAGAGGGGCTGTTTGCGCAAACTTCCCAGCCCACATTTCAGACTCCAGGGGTTCAGATGCATTTCGTTATGTTCCAGGAAAACAAGCAAGCTTTTGGGGCACACCTCTCAACCAGGTTCAAAGTCTACGCCTCTGTGGTTTGTCCATCATTCAAGCTACCAAGAATGCTACCGAATCCACAGTTTGCAACTATTTTTAACAGGCTCATCTGCATTGTTGAAAACTGCCTGTATTTTGGCAGATAAGCCAGTCAACTCTGGAAACTGTGCTGGTCTCTTAGATTTCTTTTTGGAAAGTGTCTAAGATTTATAGTGGGAATTACTCATGACAGCTGCATTCTTTCCACTGGGTTTAGACCCACCATTTGGTCTAATAACTCCTAATTGTGTGTCTATCCTAGTCTAAGCTTCTTCAGAAGAAAAGGTGGGGGGTAGAGGAGAGAGACTTCTGAGAGTCTCCTATAGTGATACCCAGTGATTTTTGTCAACTGTAAAGACTGTTTTGAAGCTTAAGAAGGTCAGCTGATGATGAACAAATAAATGACATTTCAGTGAACATGGATTTCTTCAGAGAATTTTTCATTACTGTCATTAATGCCAGTTTGATAAAAACAAAACAAAACAAAAAAGTAAAATGACTTATTTTCACTGTGTTCCCAAGGTATTTTTAGCATAACAAGAAAAGTTCTTGTCAGCATCCAGTCATGGTATTTTCTTGAAAGAAGTACCTTTCAAAGTGATTTTTCTCCAAACTTCACCAGAGCACAACATGGGTACCTTGAAGTCATTGCACATTTAAAAATCATACGAGGTCTAATTATATTTCCAAAATAAGTAGTTTCCAATCCAGCAAGGATAATGTGGTCATGAAAAGGATGTCCAAATCCACCAATTTACATTGGTTTGGTTTGGCATCACTTTCAAAGTTCTTGGAGCAAAAAGAGGATGGCACGTGAATCATTGCAATTTGGGTAATAATTCCTAGGACTTGGGGTTTGCCACTCTGTGAGGCATTCAGGGGAAAACTAATCAACTTCAAGACTGTACCTATATAATTTATAACTGCTAAAATTCACTGATATGTTCCAGATTATTTTGCAAAATGTAATACCCTCCTTTTTAATATGTACTTTGTCATTTTCACTCTATTTATGTAATTTAAAAAGTATGATAGCAAGGGAGCATGAGCCATTTGAAGCAGGAGCCACTAATGTCAGAGATTGTTATCCTTCACAAGATATATGGTGTTGATATCTCTGAATCTAAAGGGCTTGGAAGTTGTGTCAAGTTAGATTCAAATTGCATCTAATATGTTTTGCTTTACTCCCTCTTACTTTCTGGTTTCTATCTTAAGCCACAAAGCAGTTTTTCTGTTGTGACTTAGTGCTACAACCATAGTGGTGGCACTGGTCTGAGTTACGTTCTCTGTCTCCATCCCCAGCCCTCCCTCCTTTTATCCCAAAAGAAAATTGGGTTATTAATTTAGGATGAGGCTGCTTTGTTTAAACAGTATAGTGTTTTCCAATTGCTCCAGTGTAATATATCCAACCCATACTGCTCTTTCAAATGTTTTTGATTACCGAACTCAAAAAAGAAAGAAAAAAGAGAGAGAAAGAAAAAGAATGAAAGAATGAAAGAAGAAGAAAGAAGAAAGAAAGAAAGAAAGAAAGAAAGAAAGAAAAGAAAGAAAAGAAAGAAAAAGAAAGAAAGAAAGAAAGAAAGAAAGAAAGAAAGAAAGAAAGAAAGAAAGGAAAGAAAGAAAGAAAGAAAGAAAGAAAGAAAGAAAGAAAGAAAGAAAGAAAGAAAGATCTTTTACTGAAATTTATGAAACACCAGGGATGGGGAGGGACTTTTTATGTTGTAACTTTAAATTTCTAGAAAAGGAAAAGAAAGTTTCGGATCCTGGGGAATTTCAGTAATTGAAACTCAGTTTACAACTCTAGGCAACATATACATCTACAGTTGCACATAAAATAATTAGAAAAGAAAGAGTTCTAGCTTCAAAATAGAAATGAGCTTGATTTTGTACCTTGAATAAAGAGATATGCATATAAAATAAAACTTAAATAAGGTCCTTATTTGCAATAAAAATTCATTGACATTCAAGTAATATAATTGACTATTGACCTCTGATAAGGGTCCAACTAATTAGCAAAAAAAAAAAAAATTAAAAAGAATTATATAGTAAATGTCCTTATTTGTATTGTAATAGATTTCAAGTGACATTTCACCTTGAATCATTATTTTAAATAGGGTTAATTTGACTGATTTTATAAAAAGCATATTAGGATTTCTCACTTGGGGAATGTGGGTCTGCATATTCCATCAATGTTTCTGTTTACTAAAATATTCTTTTTCTCAAATTCTTTCAGAGAAACTGATAACTCATGGGAAAATACCAGACTACTTTCATTTGGTGAAATTTAGTCTGTTTGTGGTGGCAAGCAGGATGACATTATTCACCAATCATGGTTTTGAGTGACCTTTGTCTAGTTTTAAATCCAAAACTATTACCAAAGGCCCCAAACTTGCCACCAGAAACATTTTTCTATGGATAATATGGAGCCACTTAAGGTGATTTGGAAGAAGAATTCCAAAATATTTTCCCTTATTGGCCACGTGGTTCAGAAAAGAATTAAACATAGTCCCAAGAGGGACTATTTCAAAAGGGACACATTTACTTGAAAGCTTTGATATTTTTTAAAATCTAAAATATTATTTAATATTTTTATGGGTTAAATCTAGGTACCAGACACTACCTAATGACAAAGCGAGGAAAGTAGTGGGTAGTAAATTATAAAGTTCTGGGTATATGTATAAACTGAAGACCATTATGGTCACATACTAAAACTAGGAGTTGTTGGCATATCGAACTCCAATAAAAAATATACAAAAAAAAAAAAAGAATGGGAAAAAAATAAAACTAGGAATTGTATACTAGAAAACTTTTAGGTAGGATGATTGTTACAGTGCAGTTGTCATATGTACATTGTACTTAAAAAGCAAACATGTTGGAGTCACTTTTGATGAATGGAGCTATTTTGTACATTAGGAAGAAATAATATATGTGACTTCTATAGATGTATGTGTCTTAGACACTCATATACACACTAATGGGTGTCCAACCTCATCTTAATTCCTCACAAATTCATAATTCTCATGAAGGGACAGAGACTTGGTAATTTATTATTAGATTGCTCTAGACCTACAAAACTCAAACCAATTAATACACTTGCTAATAACAACTATTGCATTGTATTGATATTATTCCAAATTGCTCTGTGGTTTATCACATGGCTGGGTCAAAATCATGAAGATGAACAGGTGGGCAGAGAGGATTTGTAGGGGAGGGAAAATACTTTGTATCATTTTTTAAATGATGGATACATGTCATTATGCATTTGTCCAAACACAGAACAATACACTACCAAAATGAACCATAATGCAACAATTATGATGTAACAATGTGGGTTCCTCAATTGTAAAAAATGTATCACTCTAGTGGGGTGATGTTCATAACGGGGAGGCTATGCATCTATCAGGGACAGGAAGCATATGGGAAATCTCTATACCGTCCCTACAATTTTGCTGCAAACTTAAAACTACTCTAAGAAAATGAAGTCTTAAAAAATACTGAATGATTGTTTCAAATTATACTATTAATGCCAGTGTTGCAAGTTATTTTATTCTATCCTAAACTACTGAAGAAATATTATGCACCATGGCAGAAATGTTCTTACTATCAAAGAGATCATTTCATGTCAGCAAAGGGCTTTACAAAGCCCTTATTCTGTTATATTATGACAATAATTTCTACCAATTTATTTAATACTTTTGATCATGAATTCAAGTGTTTAATCATGGTGCTACACCATTTCTCTGGACAAGCAGCTGAGATAGTTGACTCGTAACCTCATCCCTGGCCTCTCTGAGGACCTGGACACATCAAAGAATATACACTCTTGACATTAAATGTTATCCACATTTTTTAAGGACAATAATTGTGTTTCAGTAAATGTTTCTATTTTCGTTTTTCCTCATTTTTTAATAACTTGGTCATGGAAATAACTAGATGCTATAAATAGATGTGTAGAAAACAAGTGGTTGATTATCCAAATCCACTGCCAGGATAAGTTATTCTGAATTATAGATGACCAGTTTTAAAATACTCTGAAAGTAATTTCAGCATTTTGCCAAGGACTTCTTTATTTTCCATCCATAAGGGAGTACTCCCGTTACCTGTAATACATTAGAGATTATCAAACTAGTTATACATCTGGAATAGAATTTTCATTCTGTAGTTTAAAGTAATCGGAACAATGCAAGTTATGTTATAGTGATTACAAGAAAAAAAGAATGGAATTGGATAGGATGGAATAGAAAGAATAGAATAGAATAGAATAGAATAGAATAGAATAGAATAGAATAGAATAGAATAATAAATGAAAGGAGGGAGTGGAGGAGGGAAAGAAGAGGGAAGAGAAATTCCACAAATGCCTTGGGTTGTTTTCTGTCCAGAAAGGGGCAATAATATATATGCGAAAGTTCTTGACCTACCTACTACCAGTTTAATTCCTGTCTTTTCCTTGAGACTGAATCTTAACTATAATGTGAAATCCAATACTACCTATTGCTCTTCTATGATTCAACTAGATTCAAATCTGTTGGTGATCGACTATAATTGAATTTTATGATTAGTTGGTTGAAATTAAACTATTGAAGATTGCTTGGTTGAGAGCATAGAAATGTTTCCTCTATGAGGAAGGGATATTTGGTATTGATTTACTATTACCTACCTTCCCACATTTTTTTTTCTTTTATCATCTCAGTTCTTTTATGACCAAATATAAAACATGCCCTTTTATTTTCAGGTCTAGATGTTGATGGAATATACCGAGTTAGTGGCAATCTGGCAACAATACAGAAGTTAAGATTTATTGTCAACCAAGGTAAGTGATTTCTTCACTTCATTTTTTTCCCATAGTTTCATCTCTGGCAATATTTCAGACTCTGTGCTGTATGTATTATGAATCTGTAATGATAAATATTTTGAAGGGAACAAGAGAAAGTTGAAGAAATTAAGCAATTTTCAACAGAGAAGTAAGAGATAGTCAGTTTACGTGGAGATTAATAGAATAGAGAGAGAAGCAACTAACAGTTTATGTGAAACAAATAATTAGTGGAATATGACAAACTGAAAAATGAAAAAAAGAAAAATAAGAGCATAAAAGAGAGGAAAATAGCCTGGCTTTGAAAAATGGTGCTGGCATATAATAAGCACTTAATGCATGTGAATAAATAATTGAGTAAATGAATGATGGAAAAGTAAGGGTCATAATCACAAATGTTAGAAAAATATGTAATAGGTAAGTAGGAGAATTAAAAATTAGGAAACTACATTTATCATCAAAGAATTACAAATTAAAACAACACTGGGATACTACTAAACACCTGTTAGGATGGCCAAAAGCAAAACCACTGACAACACCAAATGCTGACAAGGATGTGGAGCAACAGGAATTCCCATTCACGACTGCTTGAAATGCAAAATGGTACAGGGACTTTGAAAAATAGTTTTATAGGTTCTTATGAAAGCATATTTATACCAAGCTATTCAGCACTATGCTCCTTGATATTGGCCCAGATGAGTTCCAAACTTGTGTTCACACAAAAACCTGTGAACAAATATTTCCAGCAGCTTTACTCAAAACTGATAAAGCCTGAAAGCAACCAAGATGTCCATCAAGAAGTAAATGGGTAAATGAACAGTGGCACATACATATATTGGAATATTATTCAGTGATAAAAAGAAGTGAGATCTCAAGTCATGAAGAGGCTTGGAGGACCCTTACATGAAATTGCTAAGTGAAAAAAGCCAGCTTGAAAAGGGTATGTAAAAAAAAAAAAAGAAAAGAAAAGGCTATGTACTGTATGATCCTAACTATAGGAGATTCTGGAAAAGACAAAACTATGGAGACAGCAAAATATCAGTGGTAGCAAAAGATCTGGGGGGTGGAAAGGATGAATCAATAAGTTCAGGGGATTTTTAGGGCTGTGAAACTATTCTGTTTGGTATTGTAATGGTGGATACATGTCAGCATACATTTGTCAAAACTATATAATATACAACACTAAGAGTGAACCTTAATGTAAACTATAGACTTTGGTTAGTTTCGACATGGCTCATCAATTGTAGCAAATGTACCACACTAATTAAAAATAATAGAGGAATTGTGTGTTGGGATGGGGGGGGGACAGAGGGGGCATATGGGAACTCCGTATTTTCTATTCAGTTTTTTCTGTAAACCTGAAACTTCTCTTTAAAAAAACTATGAATTAAAAAAAATTAAAACAAAAAAATAGGAAATGTTATAGAAAACAAGCAGACTCAAACATCTTAAGTTGGCCAAGGATAGAGTACTGGTGGAACTATCTATCTCCACAAATTTCTATAGATAGTAAAAGGTAGGACTTTGAATCATCTTTGTCCATTAACCAAGAATAGCCCTAGGGTGTGCATAAAGGGAGGTTTTAATTAATATTTGTTGAATGATGTGTGTGTGTTGCAAATAGAAATATTAATACTGAGAAGCATTAAACCCTCCAACAGTTTAATTTGGGTTGAACTACCCTTTTAAGTGTTGACTGCAATACTTCTGGCCAGTGGGCACATGATTTTTATTTCTGAGAATCTTTATAACCAAGAATCTCCTCAGCTCTGTTTGCTTATTAACGTGAACCTTTATATTTCACAATTACTCTCCGTCCAAGGCAAAAACAAAAACAACAAAAACAAACAAAACAAAACAAACAACCCCCCTCCACGCTGAACTTAGCTTCACTCCATTTATTCATATTGGCCCCATTGGACTGAACCAGAATGCCCCCTCTGTGAGTAAAAATTGGATAAAATAGGCCCAGCCTCATTTTCATTCCTGCTTATAACCAGCTAAAATCATTCTTTTAATATATTTCATACTGAAGCCATATCCTGATTGGGATTCTAGACAGCTGGGCAACACATTTCTCCTACAAAGAAGAAATCTCAAAACAGAAGCCATGCTAGAAACAAACACTAGTTGCATTTCCTGCCTTTAAAAAAAAATTATGCTCAGCAGTTTGAAAAGGCAAAAAAAAATCTGCAATGAAAATATGAAATCTGTCCATCTCATCTTTTGCAATCCAGACTTCAACGTCCTCTGAGGCTGTGTAACTGCTCATGTTTCCATGAGAGTTGACAATGTAAAGCTGGACAGAGGCCTGAGTTGGTATCTGGTAGCAGAGAATTGTCAGTAAACTGTCTCCCTGGTTTATAGCACTGTCACAATGCAGCATGCTCAACGCAAATTATGCTACATTAGGACCTTTGATACTGGCGATTTCGTCCAAGTTGTGTTGTGGAGTTTTTTGAATTAGATGATAAAAGAATGCCTATACCGGCCTGTCTCAAATTTTGCTAATCAGATTATGCTTTGAATGAAATCTCTGGAGTGCACCCATAGCTTTGGTGCTAACACCGTACCTTCCCTCCATCTGCACACTGGTCTCTAACAGCAGAGCTGACTTAGAAGAGAATCAGTGCTAGGTACAAAGAGGTTGACTGTGTACATTGGAGCCTCCCCTCTGGGTGTGTGTGTGTGTGTGTGTGTGTGTGTGTGTGTGTGAGTGTGTGTGTGTGTGTATGCAATGAGATAGAGTGGCCATGAGCGATAGATAATTCCATGAAAAGCATAAAGCGATATGTCAATGCAGTATATTCTTTTTGTTTTCAAAGATGGAACATACATGATTTTGGTATACTCCCTTTGTGTTAATACCTTTTGTCTCCATGTTCACATTCCACAAAGTTTCCTCTTTTATAAGGGTCTAAATATACATTTAAAACATGAACAAGGCCTACCCACCATTAGGCTAGACAAATGAAAACTGATTTGGGGGATTTTCAAGAACAGTTCAATTGCAATTTATGTATTTTGCTAACTTTCTTGAATGCCATAATCATCAGCAATTCTAAATACACCAGTTGAATGATTCAATTTGTTTTGGTTTTCTGTTTGACTCACTAAATCAGTAGGAATTGGACACCCTCATTATACTTCCAGATCAGATGGCACACAAGTTAAATTCAAAGGGATCACTTTTGAAAAGCATGTTCTGATGATAACTAGTAACCAGGATAATAATCATAATAATTATTATTATAAAACTAGCTAACATATTTTCATAACTTGCTACATTCCAGGTGCTATACTAAGTGCTTTACTTATGTCATTTAATTTAGTGTTTTTTACCATCCCATAGAATAGATACTATCCTCATTTTAAAGGTGAGGAAACTGAGGCCCCTGGACGTTAAATCCTAAGGTTGTAATTCAAGTAAGTGAAAGAATTAAGACTAGATCCCTGGTGCTTCTGACTCAGAGCCTGTGCTGAAAGCCACTGCTGCCATTGGGCATTCCCCACTCACTAATTGTTGTTACCTTTTTGTCAAAGTGTGTATTGGTCTTTTCATGCTACACCACTTGTTAGTCACTTTCTGTTTACACCTGTAAATGGTGTTTGTAAGTGACAAGTCCAGCCATAGGAGTTTGGATAGAACAGTTCAAGAAAGAAAAAATGCAGAGGAAAATGCCAAACATCACACTTACAAAGAAGCCCGGAATTCTTTGTGAGGCATTCTCTATAAGGCTTTACGTATCTGTGTTTGGACCAAGAAACAACTTTAATACAATATTCTGTCGCAGTCTTCAGCAGTCACTGAGAACTCTTGGTTTACTGGGTCACCGGTGCATAAAAAAGCAGTGCTGGGCCTTGTTTACTGTATTTGGTGACAGCTTTTAGTGACATTTTGCTGAGGCAACTCTTCCACTCTATGAAGGCATCCCCCAAAGAAAACTGGTCCATGACCTTAGATGTCAACCTGTCAACAGCCTGTGACACTGTGTTGATTCTTCAGAATGATCTGTGTGACCTGATGGTTTTCTTGCATGGGGTTACTTCTGCACAGGACTGACTGTGGAATTGAGGATGCTGCATCACTGTCTTGAGCACGTTTGACAGTGGGTCTTGGAAATCCCACCGGGTTGAGTTCCCCTCCTCCTGGTATCAACACCCTGGTTTGGACTGCCCTTCTAGGCTTATTGCTCAAACTCCAAAATCAGTTCAGACTCTCTTTGGTACTGCTAGATGCTCTCTTTCACCCTTTAACAAGGGGACAAGAAAGACTGGCACCCTTTTTGGAAAATATCAACTATGAAGCTTCCCAAGCCCATGAGCCAATGGGAGAACTATGAAGCTGTAGGGGAAGAACCCGGTGGGAATGTTCCAGACTAGTGTTTCTTAATACACAGTCACAAATATTCCCTCTAACCATTTCTCTGAACTGGAGGAAGTTACTTCCCACCAAGATTTTAGACATGTTTTCCATATATAGGAAAAAATTTTAAAGGAAGAATCTTAGGGACACCTCCTTCACTTTTTCACACCCAGAGGAACAAAATATATAAATGCTATAAATCTACGTGGCCAAGAATCTTAATTGGGTGTGTGGGTGTGTGTATGTGTGTGTGTGCATATGATTGCGCGTGTATGTTGTTTTAAATGGGAGAGGGTTTTTTTTTCCCCCATTAATTTACAGTCTTGCACTTTGCATATCTTTATTCACCCAGATCTTATTGGCATAATAATCCAAATTAAACATTGGCTTAAAGAGATGAATTTGCTTATTTTGAACATGCTAAGAATAAGCTCCATTGAAAATAAACTATTAGAGAAACAATTTCATGTTACCAACTATATCTAAACTACTTTTATATAGACTTGTACCACAATGCCAAGCAAAGCATTAACTTTAGAGCTACCCTCATGTTTTTTTCATGTTATTTGCAGCATCAAAAATTGAATAAAAGAGGAAAGAGAGAAAGAATGTGAACAATTGGCAGTTCTGTTCT